GCTGTTAAAAGAATTGTATATTCTCTGCGATTATCATATTTTATTTGTGATAATAGGTTTTCCTTACAGATACATGTAATGGAGGAGGGAGGGAAATACCTCTTATCTACTATACTGAGGTGGTTCATACATGCAAATTAAACTGTTCCTTATCTTTTAATGCACCATCAAACATAAATCGAAGACATGAAAAAAAGCACTCATGATAACAAACAGATGTCTTTTGCAGTGAAATGGTGCATTGATTCTAAATATCAGCACATATAAACTCTTGATTCCATGCTGGGAGTTGATGCAGACCTTGTGCACTGCCCTCATCCATTGTGGTCTTTTGTTCAGGAAGTGAACCTGAAAACACATGCAGCTGGCATATTACAGGCATATACAGGACTCTTCAAAGCTTCCCTTAAGTTATCCCTGTGACAACCTCTACTGAGACATTCATCAAAGTAAGTATGTACTCACATTGGGACTCATACACAGAGAAGCTTCTAGGAAGGTCTTGATTATTGAGAGCAAAGTTTGTTAAATGTTTAGACAAGTCCTGACATGGTATTAGCAGCAACACATCTGCCCATCACTTGCTTTGAACACCTGCAATCAAGAGCCTTGTGGCACAGTGGTTAAACTGCAAGACTGCGGCCATGATTCTGTTCATGACATGGGCTCAGGAAGTCAGCTCAAGGTTGATTCAGCTTTCCATCCTTCCAAGGTTGTTAAATGGAGTACACAGCTCATTTGGGGAGGGGCAATGTGTAGACTCCACAATTGAATTGTAAACTGCCCCGAGAGTGCTTTAAGTGCTATGGAGCAGTATATAAGTAGCACACTTTGCTTTGGCTTTGTAGCCACTAGTCTGCTCTCTAGAGAGAGGACTGAAACATTCTTTCCTGGGTCATGTCAAGGGCTACTTTTACTGTCAAGGAACCAGGGATTTCTTCCCCACATTTAGAACAAAGCTTTTTAAGCAGTTATCTGTCAGCTGGCTCTTCTTGTAAGCTAGCGCCAAGGATGATGATCTGATTAGTATGCCATTCAGGTAAGATGCTGCTCCTCGCATCCAAAATCATCAGGGCTGTCTTGGTAAATACTCTGGGAATGGATGTCACACCAAAATATAAAGCATCTTTGCTGTGATATGCAAAATGCAGTCTCCCTCCCTCTCTCTCTGTCTGTTTCTATCTTGGTCCACACCCCAGCTTCTGAGCTGTGAATTATTCTAAAATCTGTACCTGATCATTACAAAGCTGCCGCCAAAGCCTCAGAACCTACTTCACTTCAGAGCTGTTTCAACTGCTGCATGCTTCCCCCAATCTACCATTTCCCTTTATCTGTTACAGAAACCAAAGCTGCTACTGGAGAATCACTCTGTCGAACTTCTAGCAAGTCCATTATTTTGTCAAGCAGGGGTACTGGTACTTGTTGGTTTATTGACCACCTTGACTCTCATCAGAATATATGCATTCAACCTCAACTAGTTTGTAAAAGAAAAAAAATGTAGGGAAAGTATTATGGATGCCTTTGGAGGCCCTTTGGGGAAAACCTTCTTCGTCCCTTTGCCGGAGGGATAGCAGCTTCCATCCCTCCATTTCCCTCTCCCTTGCTGACCTATTTTAGGTGAGCATGAGAGTGTGGGTGAGTAATCAAATCTCATGGGGAGAAGTCACTCCACTTCCTGCTAATTTCAGCAGATTCATCTACCATTTTGTCTCATATTCACTAGAGCAGAAGGAGCTTCTGCGCAGCAGCATTGTCGTGTGGCAGCCCTGCCAATGATGTGAGTTAGTAGCTCTATATCTTGAAGCATTAGAGAACTTCTTCTTTGTTTTCTGAAGCCTCTCCCTGCAAAATCACACAGGAAGCAATTTTGCAGATTGTTGGTCCATCTAACCTAGAATTGTCAACTCTGATTGCCAGTGGTTCTCCAGAGTCTTTTGAGAAATTTTCCCCAGCCCTACCTGGAGATCCCTGGTATTACCTGGCAGTTCCCCAGCCTTACCTACTTTAGCTTCCAAAATTAGTCAATGCTAGGTAAATTTGGGATGCTAAGAGGCAGGGATATGTATCTTTGATTGTATTTTTGTTTGCAGTCAGTCATGTTGGTTGTTTTAAATAGAAATAATAAAAGCCATGGTAATGATGATAGTACTTTTCAAATATTTGAAAGGCTGTCATACAGAGAAGGGGCAAGATCTGTTCTTGATCATCCCAGAGCGCAGGACACACAGCAATGGGCTCAAGTTAAAGGAAGCCAGATTTCGGTTGAATAACAAGAAAAACCTCCTAACTGTTAGAGCAGTATGACAGTGGAACCAGTTACCTCAGGAGTTGGTGAGTGCTCCAACACTGGAGGCATTCAATAAAAACTTAGATAATCAACTGGCAGATATGCTTTGATTGTATTCCTGCATTGAGCAGAGGGTTGGACTTGATGGCCTTGTAGGCCCCTTCCAACTTCACTTTTCTATGATTCTATGATGATGGTGGCAATACAACAACAATAGCAAGGACACCTTGGGGTTTAAATACACATTCACAGACTTGCAGCATGTGAAAGTTGTATCAAGGGTTAGCCAATTCAAATTCCGAAAAATACAGTCTTTCTACTTGAATATTAACTAAAAAGTGACATCAAAGGAGAGTTCTAAACACAGACTAGACCCACTTTAGATACACTTTATTCCATGATGGTAATGGCGGCAAAAATAAATAATTAAATGAAATTCTCCACTGCTGCTGCACCTGAACAGGATTAACCAGCAAAGTTGCGCCCAAATTGTGGAAGTCTCTGCTGAAGAAATGTCATCTGGTTTCCTCACCGGAAACTTTCAACAGGTAAGCTTCTCTGCTGAAGAAGAGCCTTGTGGCACAGTGGTTAAACTGCTGTACTGCAGCCAAAACTGTGCTCATGACCCGGGGTTCAATCCCAGGTAGCTGGCTCAAGGTTGACTCAGCCTTCTGAGGTCGGTAAAATGAGTACCCAGTTCACTGGGGGCGGGGGGGGGGGCAATGTGTAGCCTGCATAATTAACTTGTAAACTGCCCAGAGAATGCTTAAAGCTCTATAGGGCAGTATATAACCAGCACACTTTTGCTTTTTGAAATAGAGGCTTTGACAGGGGTATTTTGCTCTATGTGGTTTTCTCTGATGCTCTGTTTTAATCTGCATCTCTAATTTGATTTTGTGTTTGAACTTTTAGCCTGTTTCCATCTGTTATTTTACTTATCTGTGGGTCAGTTATCTTTACCTATGGGTTTTATTGCAAGTCATCTTGAGCATTTTTATGAAAAGATAGTCTATACATGAAAAATATATAAACAAGTGACTCTCTTGAAATAACAAAGCAGATTTGTCTGGGCTACTTGATAATGCAATTTTTTCCTCTCTGTTTCTTCCTCTTTCTTTCCTTTGTCTGCAAAGCCCAACTTCTTGAAGGTTAAGTTCAAACCAGCAGCTATATGCAAATCCAGGTCCTAGGTGAGATTTTTACATCTGTTGCTTGAACTGGCTCTGGTGGCTTTGTGTTGCCTTGTCAACATTGTGAAACTGAACTATGGAGCAACAGAGAAATCTACAAAAAAGGCTTCCCCCACAGTCACCTGACTGGGGTGGGGGAGGGAGACTGTCAAAATGTGAATTTTGTATAAATAAGGTATATGAGCAAGAGATGTTACTATAACATGGAAGTTTGAACAATAGTGAACTGCCTGGTAAAAGTTACTGCAGGGCAAAGAGATGTAACCTTGAAAATTGGGGCGGGGGGCGATAAAGAAGGAATAAAGGAACAATTTAAGTAGCAACATACTGAATGAACGGACAAATGAATGAATAAATAAATAAATAAATAACAAATTGTCTATTCATTTCCATATAAACCTGCATGAATAACATGAACAATTGTAGCAAGTCCCATGGTGTTCACTACTGGAGCACAGTCAATGAGATTTTGTGTTGATTCTGTTAGCTTAGGACAGAGAAAAGATATGGAGGAATGTTATTGTTTCCACTTATGAGAGAAAGTTTGCTTGCACAGCAATGAGATTTTGCACTAGCCTTTTATAATTGGATTCTTCAAGTTTGACAATATATAAACAGTAGACCAAAAAAATTATAAAAAGCCGTGCCTACAGAAGGGCTAGTGTAATATAAGCAAGCTGCTAGCCACCTAGAGGAAGTCAGTAGAACCAAGCACAGCTGAGCTGAGAAGCCAAGAGAAGGAAAAATATAATGACAGCTGCAAATACATCAGCACAGAGGCAACACACAGAAATCATGGATTTTCCTCTATAGATTTTATCTGGCAGATGGCAGAGTGAAAATGTGGAAAACTTAATATTTTTCCACTTGAATGTTCAAACATACTAAAAGGCTAAGAAATTTATTTCTACTTATATTGATTTAATTTTTTTAAAATATATGTGCTTTAAAAAGCTACAGTAGTACCTCAGTTTATGAAATTAATGTTTTCTACGGGACATTATTAATGCAAAAAATTCATAAACTGAAACGTGGATTGCTAAAGGAACGGGGGCAGTGCTATAAACCTCCAGGCACAATGCATCCTGAGGAAACTTCCTTCATACTGCAGGGGAAAAAAAAAACGTAAACCAAGGTATTATTTTCAATGGATTTCCGTTCGTAAACTGAAAATTACGTTAACCGTGGAGTCCGTAAACCAAGGTATTACTGTATAAGCTTTTGTATTATTGGACTGAGGTAAAGTTTAAATTCTTGTCTTAACTTTTTAGCTAAAAGCTTACAATTGAAATATATTTATCTGACTTAAGTAGTTTCCTACAGCTTAAGTTCAGCCTTTGTATATTTGTAAGCATTTTTACAGCTATAAAATGGTTTTTGATGCCTGTTACATGTTTTCAACAGCTCTGAAGTATTTTTAAGGTTTTATGCATAGAAGCAATATGGATTAATAAGGCTTGTAGAATTAGACAAGCGAATGTTGTTTGGACTTATTTTTCTCTGTTTACTTCACAGTGAGCGAGAATTGTGATGTATTTTCATCCTCAGAAGAGAGATGTAACACAGAGAGGGAAACTACATTCTTGGTGGGCCAGCCAGGAGATCAGCTTGATTTATTACTGCACCTTGACATTTTGGGTGAGTCACACAAGAGCACGTAAATGACATATACTTCAATACTCAGATTAACTTTGATATGGTTGTTATGATTATTTGATTCACATTGGTATTTAACACTTTCAGGGATAAATGTTGGCTGTGACAGACCACCACAGACTCATACTACCAAGGGGTGTTACAAAGTTCTATAATGCTGTGAGGATATTGTTTGAGTGTCATACTTTTGATTTTGAAAGCTTCCTAATGGGAAGGGCCAATGTTCATTTTCTAATATTCCTTCTATGCCTGAGGAGTGCTCTCAAGTCAGCATCATCATGGAAGGCAATCCACTAGGTAAGGGGCTGAATCTGCCTAATACTCACTAACTGAAAGGGATCCTTTTTCCTTCAACCTTTACCCCTATTTCATTTTGTTTTTCACAGATTATTTGTTTGTTATTTTGCATTTGGCACAATTCAGCATCAAAACATTTCACTGAGTGCTTCTAGACACCATGCTCTGTAACGCCAGCTGTCCAGTACTATACAATGGCAGACTAGTATTCTCTTTCACTCCATGTCACAGGAAGAGGCATCAGTGGGAAAGCAGCTCTTAACATGCTTGGAAGCTTTTGAGTGCTGTGCATGGCTTTTTATGATAGCTCTTATAGATTGTGCTTAAATGACAATCTATCCTGAATAATTACCTCTGTGCTCTGATGTTTGTATTTTTAGTGTGTAATTCCTCTTAATTGACTATGAAAGAGGATGTTAATTATTGTTGTCATTTTGTTTTAAGCCAGTCACATCAATTTCAAAATGGACATCAACTAATGTTGTTTTAAAAACCTTTCAGAATCAATCAGATTTAATTTCAAACTGAACACGATTCCAAAAGGTCAGCATGGGAGCAGGTAGAGGAACAGCGGCTTGGTTTGCTGATTTGGTCTTGCACGTTATGTTAGCATTTAGCATTGCTTCTGTGGCATGGAGAGGAATCTATGCACAGTTGCTTTGGTTTTATACTTTAGTACATTTTTCTTTTTTTCTTTTCTTTTTTTGCAGTAGATACAGGCACCACACAGGGAGGGAAGTCAAAGGGAGGCGCATGTTTGCTCCATAACTTTTGAGCATTTTTTTCCTCTTTCACAAGCCTGTTCATCTTCTTATCTGCATTTTGCAGAAGGCTACGAGACATTAATGAGAGATTTCATGTTCATACCAATTACTTGAAATATTAAACATCCCTCTTAAGGTGCATTTACACTTCAAAGTAATGACTCATTCTAAACATTCTGCAAGGATACAATGGAAAGGGGGCAGCTTATCCATGTTTGGTGCCATTAAAGAAAAATATTTTCTATTATAGCTACAGTCTTGCTATCACATTAATTTTTAACCCCCTGCTTTTAGCAAAGAGGCCTGCTGGCCACTTTCCAGTTCCATATATTTGAGGACTTGTATCATTACTGCTGATTGCCAAAGAAGCCTGCCAGGCATGTGTATGCTCTGCGCTGGTGCCTGCTGCTCAGCTAGAACCATGTCCCTGGTTCCAGTTGTTTTAACAAGTATCGGAGAAGCTGCAGGGGTGTTTGAAAGTACAGTACCAATATTTAAACACATTCTGAGTACATGAGCAGCAGCATCCCCAAAGCCTGCTGCACACCATGGGGGCTCACTTTTGAGTAGGACTGCACAGTACAAATACAAAGGCCATCACAAAGAGTTAGTACAGAGACTGAGGAGCAATATCTTATTAACTAATATCTGAAAAATATCTGAAAAGAAACATCCTGCCTTTTCCATTGGGTAAATGAGATTCCCCCTGCCCCTATGACTTGAGAATTTTCCACACAGCATGTTCTGTACATAAGATCTTTTCTTTTAATCTGATACTTCAGTTGGATTAAATACTATCCAAGCAAGTTCATCCCTCCACTTCCATAGCAGGAGAAGACAAGGGGTCCTTTCCAAGTAGGTTTCTCATTTTGGAGTGCCTAGAAGCAGCAGCATACATTGGGGTCACAGTGAGCGGCTATCCAACAACTGTTGCCTTCCATAACGGTATAGGGGCACAATCAGTTGTGCAGCCATTCCCATAACTAGTTGCATGCCTGGCAGACAAGAAAGCAGAATCGGTGTTTCCATGAATACTCTCTTACATGCAAATATCTACAGGGATTTGATCTATGTCTTCAAGACCAAGGCTTGACTGTTGACTCTCCTGATGGGAAAGATGCTGTTCTGAAGTTTGTAGTTGCATCACAACCTACCTTTTCTTCTCAAAGAGAAACTGCCTCAAGAAACCTAGAGTTGCACTGAATTACTATAGAAAGACATAATTTACAGTTCCTAAACTCTCCAAATCCATAATGAGGTTTTAAAGTGATATATGGAACTCTTCTTATCTAGCCCTGAATATAAAACCAATAATCTGTAACTCATAGCTAATATTTTATTATACAATGATTTTTTTCATGAAAAAAGGCTATTTTTATTTTTAAATTCTGATTTGCATCCCATTAAGAGCAAACTCCACCCGCAGCAGCCATCTGTCTGTACGCGTCACAGCTCTGTTTTCTTTTATTCAATCTGTCATAGGAAAAGTTCAATTCCACTCATCTTTCTGTGGTTTTAAATTTTTATTTTAGGAGCTCTCATTCTGAATGAAACAAAGCAGCTCATAGATTTGTTTGTGCTAGGAAAACATTTTGATGATTGTAAGATGAAGTTGCAAATGTGAGCTTCTGTGCCAGTGCAAATACAGGGGCAACTGAAAGTTCAAAGGATTCTGCAGAAGGACATAATGGCAAGTGACCCTGTACAGTATGTGGCAATGTAAAGGTTACCTGTCTGTGACAAGGAGACTTTTACTACCGATTTGCAACCAGGGGAAACTTGGGCAATGTAAGGGTCCATTGAAATTCACATCACAACTCATCAAAGGTTCATAGGCAGCAGGCTTACAAATCACCTCTGCAAATTACCACCCAGAAGAGTCCTTCAAAATCTCCAATTTCCATCTTGTCTCAGCCACAAAAGCACTAGATGGACCCAAGCAAGCAGCTGCTTCCCAGTCAAAGTTAATACCTCCTCTTCAACTGCAAAATGGAGATAATCATACTAAGCCCAAGGAGGACTCCAGTGATGAAACATCAGGTTGAAAGGAGGGAACCATCTCTTTGAGTTAACCAACCATGCAAGTTTAGCAACAGTGTGACAAGCAGGCACCACTCCGCTCTTCCCCAGCTTCTGCTAGCATTCAACTGAGTTTTTTAGGCAAACAAATCAACACATTAAAAAAATTATAAAGGTAGAATTGCTGCTTGTTACTATTGTTCTATTGGGCCATTAACATTTACTGATTTATTTCACTTTTATGGTACTTACATTGTGAATTCATTTGAAGGGCAATGTATAAATACTGAGGGAAAACTCTCTGGTTTTGCCTTTGGTCTGCATCACAGAAAGGCTGGCTCTGCATCCAGCCTGCAACACTATAGTATGATCAAGGGAAGGCTCAACTCATAATGGTGAGAGCAAGCACATACCCCTCACTCATCCATCCATGACAAGAAAAGACTATGATTTAAGGCAGTAGTTCCCAAACCTAGGTCCCCAGACATTCTTGGATTGCAACTCCCAGAAGCCTTCACCATTGGCTATGCTGACCAGGATTTCTGGAGGGTTGTAGGCCAAGAACAACTAGGGACCTAAAGTTGGGAACTACTGATTTAAGATCATTTTAGTAGCACAATGTACTGGGCTTAGGCAAGCAAAATACATGGTGTGACGGTAGCGATGATGTCATTTGCCTGTCATTGCTGTGGCTGGAGTTCATCTGCCTATAGCATGACGGGAGGTGGGACTTCAGAGGGTGGAGCCATGGTATTTAAGGGGGGAGTGAATGAGGTGTGAGTCAGATAGGGTCTAAGATAGGGTTTAGATAGGGACTTGGTTAGGGTCGGTTAGGGACTTAGGGCTTATACCTGTCGTGTAGTACTGTGATATATTTTGAGAGAAGGTCTGAAAGAGAGAGTGTGTGTGATACTTTATATTGATTGCCTTATTATTTCGTTGATACAGTGATTTACCATTTCTTCTGTTATTATAAATAAAGACAAGTTTTTATTTTAAAAATCGTTTATTTGCCTGAACAGTCTCAGATGAAGGAATGGTTGGTGGCAGCATGAACAAAGTGTGTGTATGTAAGAGTGACGTGACACCTCCTTTGTGACGTGAGAGGAGGCTGTCACACATGGTATCCAGGAAATTGTCCTAATCTATGCTTTCGCCCAGCATTACTAGCTTTCCTAACTCTGTAGAAGCCCCTCCACAATTCTAATTTCAGATGAATTGTCTCAATCACTGTACAAATCCTCTTCATGTGATAAGAAAAGAGTTATGGATATAGATGTGGTGGTTATGCACCATGCTATCATTCTAAGCATGCTGAAACATTCTTGTCTATATATAACTCCCATGCACCTTTCTACTGCAGCTACTCAGAAGTCTGGAAAGAAATACAGTCATGGCAAAAAATATTGGCACCCTTCCAAATCTGTCAGAAAATGCAACCCTTCTCTCAGAAAATTGTTGCAGCTGCAAATGTTTTGGTACTCACATGCTCATTTCTTTGGTTTGCATTAGAACAACACAAAAAACAGAGAAGAAAAGTCAAATCTGGAGTGTCAGATTGAAGGTCACTCTGTTAAAAGAATTGTATATTTCCTGCGATTATCATATTTTATTTGTGATAATAAGTTTTCCTTACAGATACATGTAATGGAGGAGGGAGGGAAAGTACCTCATATCTACTATACTGAGGTGGTTCGGACATGCAAATTAAGCTGTTCCTTATCAATGTCCAAATCTGATACAATCTCACACATAAACCCAAAAATCCACTGGCCAAAATTATTGGCACCGTTAATATTTGGTAGCACCCCCTTTGGAACAAAATAACTGAAATCAATTGCTTCCTGTAACCATGAATGAGTTTCTTACACCTCTCTACTGGAATTTGGGACCACTCTTCATTTACAAACTGCTCCAGGGCCTTCAGATTTGAAGGATGCCTTCTCCCTACTCCTGTTTTGAGATCTCTCCAAAGGTGTCCTATGGGATTCAGATTGGGACTCATTGCTGGCCATTTCTCCAGCCCTTTGTTTGTAACCCTTTCTGAGAGCTTTTTGAAGTGTGTCTTGGGTGATTGTCCTGCTGGAAAACCCATGACCTCTGGTGGAGATGCAGCTTTCGGGCACTGGCCAGTATGTTGCACCCCGAAATTCTTTGGTAATCATCAGATTTCATGATACCATTCACACAGTCAAGGCATCCAGTGCCAGAAGCAGCAAAGCAGCCCCAAAACATCTTTGAACCTTCACCGTGTTTGACTGTAGGGACTGTGCTCTTTTCTTTGAATGCCTCGTTTCTTCTTCTGTAAACAGTGCCATGATGTCCTTGACCAAAAAGCTCTACTTTTGTCTCATCTGTCCACAGTAGGTTCTCCCAGAAGGATTGTGGTTTTGTCACATAAATTTTGCATATTCCAATCTTGCTTTTTTATGCCTTTGTGTCAGCAGTGGTGTCCTCCTGGGTCTCCTACCATAGCGTCCCTTTTCATTCAGATGGCGATGGATAATGCCAGCTGACACTGTTGTACCCTGCGTCTGCAGATCAGCTTGAATTTGTTGGGAAGTTAACCTGGGTTCTGTATCCACCATTCAAACAACCCTTCGTTGTAATTTTCCAGTAATTTTACTATTCTGTCCATGTCCAGGGAGGTTAGCTACAATGCCATGGGCTGTAAACCTCTTGATAATATTGTGCACAGTAGACACAGGACACAAGGTCAGCAACCACATTATCTGGGTTGTCTGGGATATCCAAATCTTTCTGGTATAATTCCTCTTTGTATTCTTGTCACCTCTTCTTGATGTCTTCTGCTTCTGTGAGGTCCTTACCATTTCTGTCCTTTATCATGTCCGTCTTTGCACAAAATGTTCCTCTGATATCTCCAATTTTCCTGAACAGATCTCTGGTTTTTCCTTTTCTATTATTTTCCTCTATTTCTTTGCATTGTTCATTTAAGAAGGCCCTCTTGTCTCTCCTTGCTATTCTTTGGAAGTCTGCATTCAGTTTTCTGTAACTTTCCCTATCTCCCTTGCATTTTGTTTCCCTTCTCCTCTCTGCTATTTCTAAGGCCTCGTTGGACAGCCACTTTGCTTTCTTGCATTTCCTTTTCTTTGGGATGGTTTTTGTTGCTGACTCCTGTACAATGTTATGAGCCTCTATATAAAGTTCTTCAGGCACTCTGTCCACCAAATCTAGTTTCTTAAATCTGTTCTTCACTTCCACTGTGTATTCATAAGGGATGTGGTTTAGATTATACCTGACTAGCCCAGTGGTTTTTCCTACTCTCTTCAGTTTAAGCTTGAATTTTGCTATGATAAGCTGATTATCAGAGCCATCTTAACTGGTTGCAAATGTGATTACTGTGTTGCCCACACTTCTTACTGTGGCGATCTCCTCTGAAGCCCCTATTCCCCCAGGCCTTCACAAGGTTCTCGCTCTTCTTCCTTCTTTGCTGCCACCAGGTGTTGCTGTCTCAATACCATTCACTGAAGGATACATGTGTACTTTTGAAACTTAACTTATTTATTTGATCAGGGAGGTTAACATCTGATTAATATACAGTAGGTAAATCACAGGTTGCTAATCACTTGAATCTGAATCAGTTTTACTTTACTTTAAAGCTCTATCAACTCTCTGTTCCATTCAGCGTCCTCACAGATCTCTATCTCACTCTCAGTTCACTCTTAGGTTTCACACAGTCTCTCACTACCAGAATCTCTCTCACTTCTAGAATCTCACAGAATCTTTTTGACTCTTCATACACCAGCCTTTTATATCCAGCCCCCTCCCCCATTGGCACTGCCTTCCGTCCACTCATTGGCTCCTTCTCCACTGCTCAGCTGTGACGGACAGGTGAGGGCAGGGCTGTTCGCTACTCTTACTTGCGACAGGTGTGTCTAAATACAAATTAAAGCAGCATCACATGCTTGAAAAGCAATTATTTCTTACAATTTAGATAGGGTGCCAATAATTTTGGGTTTCTGTGTGGGACTGTATCAGATTTGACTTTTCTTCTCTGTTTTTTTTTGTGTTGTTCCAACACAAACCAAAGAAATGAACATGTGAGTACCAAAACATTTGCAAATGCAACAGTTTTCTGAGAGAAGGGTTGCATTTTCTGACAGAATTGCAAGAGTGCCAATATTTTTGGCCATGATTGTAGGTATTATTAGGTTGGGCTTACTGCATAGCCAAGAAAGAAACAAAAAACCTTTCTGTCCATGGCTATAGATTTCAAGTAGCCACTATGTTTTTTGGAAGCCTTTTGTTTCCATGGGTGTATTATGGCAGAAAAAGTGCAACTGTGGTCATCTGTGAGCCTGAATCACAAAACCTCCAGGTACAGGTAAAGTTGAATATTATCTAATATTTTCAGTTGACATTTTCACTTACTTTCTGTTGAAAATGAACAAACAAAAGGCACAATACCTGATGCATTACTTCTAACTTTAGCATGCTTTTTATAAATTTTGCATAGTTTTTGTTCTTTTGAACATGGGGAGGATGGCCTTCGAAAAGCATCTGTTGAATACGAAGAATAAGCAGGAGACGCAAAGAAGCAGAGAGAAACACAGCATGTCTCCAACTGCAATTAATTTATCTTGCATGCTATTTTCTAAGTTCCTGTGGTTACCAGTCTAAACCCATGGTGTTCTCTGAGGAGGTATGTGCAGTTGCTAAGGAAGGCACCTAACCTTTACCAGTCCTTCCTTCCTTCCCTCCCTCCCTCCTTCCCTCCCTCCCTCCTTCCTTCCTTCCTTCCTTCCTTCCTTCCTTCCTTCCTTCCACCAAGAGGTTATTCCATTTTTATTTTTTAAGTTTTTATTTATTTTAAAAACAGTGACAAATCTCCACTAAAAGTACCTCAGAATTTTAAAAATTACCACAAAAAGCAACACAATCAAATGATCAGGAATCAAAAATGACAGCAGAGCAGAAAGGTAAATATATTCACCCTACAACTGAAAAGCTAGCCTAATAATAAGCATTTCCATTTGTTCCTTGTTGGGAAGATCTTAAGTCTGTTGGAAACATTCTGAAGAATGGAATTGACAAGCAGTATGTTCTCAGGCCAAAGTGATATATTTCAATTAAGAAAATCTGTTATCCAAAATCTGCTTCGCCTATTCAATTTCTTTTGCCATATTTTCAACTGTTTGGCTTAATTTCAGCATTGGATAAATTCAATTTTGCACTTCTGTAGTTGTTCTTTGTGCATTAAGTTTCGCTTACCGCTGGCCTGCACCATGGGGTTGGTCTTACAGTCCCTGGTTTCCTAACACAGATTGGAAAAAATAATGGAAAAATAAACTTCAAAATTTTAAATAAGTGTCCTCAAAATGCAGCATTGGACTATAGATGTAACAATAAATTAAATAAACAACTAAAGCTTAGCTGTTTAGAACTCAAAAGTATTGTACCCACTAATAACAAATACAGCATATTTAGAGCTAAAGCACTGAAAACTCTTGTCACCCCTTGGATGACTGCTCATTGGACTCTGGTGAAAGTACTGGAGATATCGATCAAGGTACCTAAATCTCTGGAATATTCTACATTCAGAAAACTCAAGAAATTAGCTCACATTCTGCTAGTAGTAGCAATGTTTATTATAGTCAAACACTGTCAAGTTCTTCTACTGACAAGTTTTGACAGCAATTTTAGTTTTTATTAATGGTTTTATGATAAGATGACGCTGTTTTGACTTCTACTCTGAGCAGTGCAAAAGCTTGGGACAGCTTGATGTCAGTTCATTTTCCAACCTGGCAGTGGTGGTGGGATTTTCATTATGCATTTTTATTTCACAGGGCTCCTCACACAATCCAGCCAATCAGTGTTGCCCTCTCCCTCTTCTGAGCTTTCAGAGATCAGATGCGAATGACAACTGGACCGAACATATTTCTTTTATTTCCACTACAGATTGCTTAACCATTCTGCTTGTGAATCAGAGAAGTCTCAACAGGAAAGTCTGAGACATCTTGACTTATCTAATCCTCCAAATTTCCTAGGTACTGCCAGCTCATTGTAAACATGGTGGCCTGCATTATCCTGCATGCTTCCTCTGGGCAAAAAGAATTTGGAAGATTTCCTCTTGTCTCACCATCTCCTTAAATGCTCTCTTCTTAACTTTCTCAGTAAACAGCTTGCCACTAGAGGTTTTCCAATAAGTGTTGCCTTGCAACACAGTACCCATCCTCTGGGAGTATTCTGATGTGCTTTCTATTACTTCAAAGTAGGTATCCTCCCACTTTCATCATGCCTCAAGCAAACACACACAAACGCATGTTATTTCAAACTTAGAAATGTTCTATTATGTACCTAGCCATATTTTCACAACAAAGAGAGTCAGATAAAAAATTCAGTTGTAAACATATACTACTACACCCCTGTTTTGTATACAATATTCCTGAAGTGTATTCCTTTAAGCTTAAGAGTATCCCCCTTGGGAATATGACTGAAAGTTTAGACTGGGAGTAGAAAAAAAAATTAGCGTGCACACACATGCAGAGAATTCTGTGGTGTTGTCTCACCAACTGTGATGTAATTTAAATATAAAGAGTGAGAGCTGGTCCTACCATTTCGCAGACTGAGACAGTATTCTCAGGAAGCACAACACTGAAGATGACAAATCCATTGCTCCCCCCCAAAAAACATTGTGAAGAGCTGACACTTTTCCATGTCATTCTCCAGAGCCACAGTCCAGCTGTGAATGCTGCTGCTATCCTTCTACAGCAGGTATAAAAATGATGGAAAAAATGTAGGCAGTAGAGGAACCTGGTGCTCCTGCCTACCCCCACTTACCAGCTGCAAATGCGAAGGACATGTTGGTCAAACTTCACCCATCTGCAGACCTTGGCCAAAAGCAAGAAGTAGTGGTGACCCCCCACCCACCCATCAGAGCAGCAGAGAAAGAGGAGATAGCCACAGCAATCATACCCCACTGCCATTGCTAAAGGCTGGTTCTGGCCTCCAAGACATGATTTGGAAAATTACCTCACTACTGGCAGGAATGACCAAATCATTTGTTCTAACCACCAAAGTGGAAGGGAGCGATCCACACAGTCATTATACTCACTCATATCTTATCATATGAACACGTACCCCTTGGTTGGAAGGGACTGCATCACTCTTGATAAATAGGCATGTCCTTCTAAATCTGTATCTATGTCTACTATGTATGTATGTAATGGCAGGATTTTATCTAAATGCTCCAGTGCTATGACTGAAAAAGCAGGAGTGCTTGTCTCCCACAAACATCCACACACTATATTGTTGCCTGCAAGGGGAAAAAAGATACACAAAGATAACTTTGTTACAAACATCCACACACTATATTGTTGCCTGCAAGGGGAAAAAAGATACACAAAGATAACTTTGTTACCTACCCTGTAACTTTGGGTTGAAACAGGAGCTGACAGTCATACTAAAGAAAAGGTAGAGATGGCTGAAACGTCTAAGAGAAATTGTGTCCTTTTAGGGAGGGCTGGTAAAGGCATATGATGGAACTAAGCTACACACCACTGGTCCTCTTAGAGCCCCCTCTCTCATAACTATTGCTGTTTGCATCTCCAGTGTTAATGCTAGGTAGAGGTAGGCTCTGTGGTGCCCATTGGGTGGCAAGGACATCAAGAGTGGGGTGATGTTGGGTCAGCTGGACGCTGCACTGCCAGTTCCTCAGTTCCCTGACCCCTTCTTCCTCCAGATTTCCCTCCTCAGTGAGTGGTCCTTCCTCCATAATATGGTGTTGCATCCCTAGGGACCAAGAAGAGTCACTCTCTCCTGGGCTCCCCAGGCTTATGGGATAGGGCCTAATGGCCTGCTAGGGCTCCTGAGGCAACCTCCTCAAATGTGGTTGTGAAGGACAGTCCAAATTATCTTAAAGCTAGAAAAGAACTAATGACATTTGAAAACTAAAAAAGGGAAAGTGAAAATTTGATAGTATGGTAGGACCTGCGGGATCTGCGGGATCTGTATACTCATTTTTACTGATCTGTGGTCTTAAAATAATAAAAATATTAAAAGAAACATCCCAGAAATATGCACAGTATTACCAGAACTGGCTATGAGAGGGAGCCAGAGGCCATGCTATGTATAGTGTTCAATATTATCCATGGTTTCCAGTATCCATGTGTGTGTTTCTTGGAACCATTCCCCTGTGGATATGGAGATCCTACGATATTTCACCTGGCTCCTCAGGAATAAATACAGTAAATGAGTTAATAATCTCAACAGCAGAGAAGACTAAACTGGAAGCATCTTGTATGTTAGCAGTTCAGTCTGAAGGAGACTTATTGTTCTATTTATATAACATTGATCTCAATGTATTTTACAGTATAATAAGATAAAGTTTACAGATTGTTATGTGATGTGCCATCAAGTTGTAACCAACTTATGGTGGCCACAGCAAGGCTTCCAAGGTATATGAGATATTTAAGGATGCTTTTAATGTTGCCACCCTCCTCCTCTGCTGTGACTTTTACTAAAGATGTGACTAAAGATGGCCAAGTAGTGATTTGAACCCAGGCCTTCTGAGTCCTATTATGTCACTCTGGCTTCTATATCACACTGACTCTCAGTCTGTAAATATAATATCTTGAAATAAAAATGGTGAGGAGGGGAAAAATATAAACTACAAACAAATCTTCTACTTTTATTAAAACTGCAGCTGATAACTGCAGTATTAAAGAACAATGTAACAGATCCATGAAGTAGTAAGATCATTTAAATACATAATAATGATGTATTATACAAAGTTCACAAGCCCCAATGCACTTTCAAGTTGGTTTTCAAAACTGTTTTAGTAGGATCTGATATGTTCTTCCCATACATTGGACCTATTTTCATCAGGTCAATTCTCTTTTTTGCATATATATTAACCATAATATTTGAATCCCTGAGATGGAAATATATTAAATGAGCTCAATTTTTTCTGGCTAATGGGAAAAATGTTTGCAAATTTGGGACGTTTGGAGGGTTTTTGAAATGGCAAATTCTCCTACTGGATCCCTGGTGCGAGGATGACAAATGGATTGTAATTCACAAAAGCTCATTCTGAAATTTTATTTTCTTTGTTATCTTTGTTTCGTTTTGTTTTATTATTAAAAAATCAGCAATGCATAGTAATATGTTGCATGAAGGCACTGCAGACCCACTGGCAATATTAGTGTAGTGATTGCATTTATTATTTGTAACCCTGCTTCTGTTGTTCTCCCCTGTCTCCAACTCTCCAAAAGGCCAGGGTTCTTTTGCGTTTTTTGAAACCATTTACGATACGCCGTTTCTAAGTTCTTCACGAAACTACTTGAAAGCTTCGTTGCTTTGATTTTTCTGCTTCCTTGGCTCCTGTACCATAGCAACAAAAGTAAAATTAGCAGGAGAGAGGGGATTCTAGACAAGATGAGAATGGATCCTTGGAAAATTAAACTTTGAACCTATTGACAAGGGCAGCGATGCAGATTTATGATTGCAATTTGCTAGTGAAACTAACATGCTGGTAAGTAAGGGTGTAACAATTCTTGCATTTCAGTGTTTACTTAGCATTTAAAAATGGCTATCTGACAGCTAGCTTGAGAGCTAGCTATTGTTGAAATTACCGGTATTTGGCAAAAACAGATTTACCACTTCCTGACAAACATATCTTTGCAGGAGTTGGAACAGCCCTTAGATACAAGAAAGCCTTCAAGGGAAGTTCCGCAAATTTCAGAATTGGGCACATTTTGCTCACCCTATTCAAGAAAAACCATGATCATTAGTACCCCAAGTAGCCCCAATATTTATGGCCACAATCCATGAGGCTGGGGTCTGCCGACTCTATGCTCCTTAGAGGGCTTTCCTTTCCAGCAGGGGGAGGGAGCACTCCTTTAATCCTGCCCCCATGATTCCTCCCTGTCTCCTGCTTCAAAGTCAGACAACTATAAGTCCATGTGGTTATTAGGGAAGTTTATCACCTAGTGACGCGCGCAAAATTCTCAAACTTTGTATCTGGCCTTAATATGGTAAATAGGAAAGCCAATTAGATTTGCATAAGCCAGGGAGTCAGGAAAGTTTTAAGGATCAGATCATACTTTTGCACTATTAAAGAGCAGGCCGGGTAGGTGGGGCTCATCAGCCATGGAAGGCAGCCCATCTAGGAGAAGGAAAACCGATTTCAAACCTCCACTGCCTTGTGGCTACATCCACTTATGGAAAAGGCATCAGGAGTTAATCTCGAGGCAAAATCCGGAGCTGGAATCCCGAAGGCAGCATGTGTCATTCTGCCAACTCCTACGACATTGCTGGAACCAGTTGTATTGGCTCTTGCCTTTCCATTGGACCATTTCAGCCCTTTAATCCTGCCCCCCGATTCCTCCCTGTCTCCTGCTTCAAAGTCAGACAACTGTAAGTCCATGTGGTTATTAGGAAGTTTATCACCTAGTGACTGAGGATGGTACTGTAATGTTCAAGCACACGGAAAAAATTAAAATTAACACATTTTTTTTTAACAAAATCAAATAACTCTGAGATGTACATCCCAGAGGTCCTCTTGATCTGGATGCCACATTTCATATCTTCTATGGTTTTGGAGGAATGAGAAACACATCTCTCTTATTTTCTAAGAGAAGAAAGAAGACCTGAAAGACGTCTGTACAAAATGTTCTGCTCTGTATGAGAATTCAGTGGACTGAGTTCTGCCACTAGAAAAGGTTTGTAGGGAAATGTGACTGAGGATGGTACTGTATTGTTCAAGCACAAGGAAAAAATTAAAATTAACACTTAAAAAATCAAATAACTCTGAGATGTACATCCCAGAGGTCCTCTTGATCTGGATGCCACATTTCATATCTTCTATGGTTTTGGAGGAATGAGAAACACATCTCTCTTATTTTCTAAGAGAAGAAAGAAGACCTGAAAGACGTCTGTACAAAATGTTCTGCTCTGTATGAGAATTCAGTGGACTGAGTTCAGCCACTAGAAAAGGTTTGTAGGGAAATACATATTTTGTGAGAAAGGTTTTATTTAAAATATTTTAATAAAACAATGTCTCAAATGTGTACATGCTCATCAGCCATACCAAAGTCACCACACTCATTGGCTGGATTACCAGTACTTGGCCTCAGGTTTACCCCTAAAGAAGCAACTGTACATACTTTTCCTCATATATTCATATATAAAAGGAGTCAGAAGCCTGTTTTGGATTTTACAGGGTGCTGCACATTCAGAAGAGGGAAAGAATACCCCCTTGCAGATTCTGGATCTCAGATGAGCTCCAGTGACAATATCTAGAGGTGGGCATGAACCAGTTCATCCTGGTTGATAAAGGCGGCAGCACAGACGCTGCTGCTCTGCTCCCCACTGCCTGTGCCACAAACAGCCAATCACCAGGCCCAGCTTGCTTGTTTTTTCCAACCTCCTTGGCTAATCTCCCAGTCATGAGCAAGAGCACAGAGATCTTTGTCCTGCCCTTTTGTATGAGTGCAAGATCAGCCAAGAGGGCTGGGCAGAGAAAG